AAGGCACAAATCACAACTCATTACGAACCCTCATTAAACTTCAGTCAGCATTAATTGTCTATCTGCATCCCGGCGGATCCTGCTCTCATTCTTTGATTCGTTCTTCGCTCTTGTCCCTCAGGGAGTGTCTTTCCTTACGTAACATCACTGTACCACACTACAGCGCTCCACACCTCCCGTGTGTTCCCTCCACATGATCACTTTCTCAGGGACCCCCAGCTTTTGACCTGGACTGCAGTGCAGCTTGGAAAATTACATAACCTTGCGTAAGCTAATTAGCATTAGTGATGTGCTCAGGAGCCACATCTGCAGATGATGGAGATGCAGATGACTCTGTGAGCTCTTACACATTTTCCTTCCTAAACTTGCACACAAACTTATTTTGTAATTCCTTATAATTACGGAACGATTTGTTGTTGCATGTCAAGCAGCAATGTCAATATTCAATATTAGCAGCATATAATTGGGTGAAATATGATGGCAGCTATGTGGAAGCACACAAATCAAGATTTAATGATGCTAGACTTGATTTATGAACTGAACTAATAGGTTCAACAGTCCGCTGTGAGAGAAGACAGACTGCCCCCTGCTGGTGGGTATGTTTATGGACACAGCTTGCTGGAAGGTAATGTTGCATTTATGATTAGTCTTTATGATTTAGAATCTGTTTGTGATTAGATTGGCTTAATATGTGCCTTTTTATGTAAAGACATACAGGTTGCAAGAAAAGTGTATTAACATAGTCACATTATTTTTGGATTAGTAGTTGCACACTGAAAAGCTAATTAGAGATGCTGACATGCTAATACACCTGGGGGATTTAGCGAAACATATTTTTCATCCTTTTGGTGGTAATTTTCTCTGAAATTGATTAAATTGGTGTTTTCTTTTCGCAGCAAAATATCAATGCATAATATTTAACTGCAATGTTTACACTATACCATTTAAAGGTTTAGGATCAGATTTGATCTATTTTATTCATGCATTTATTTATTTATTTTTGTTGAAAGAAATTTGTATTTTTATTGAGCAAGGATGCATTAAATAGATCAAAAGTGACAGTAAAGACATTTCTCTATCATCTTAAATACATTCTGCTATTTTGAACTTTCTATTCATCAAAGAATCCTGAAAAATATTGTGCTATTGTGCCCAAAAATTCAGCAGCACACCTGTTTTTAACACATTGATAATAATGAGAAATGTTTCTTGAGCGGCAAATCAGCATATTAGAATGCTTTCTGAAGGATCATGTGACACTGAAGACTGGAGTAATGATGCTGAAAATTCAGCTTTGATCACAGGAATAAATTACATTTTAGAATATATTCAAATAGAAAACAGTTATTTTAAATTGTAATAATATTTCACTACATTACTGTTTTTACAGAGCGTTTTAGTAAGAAAGACAAGAGACATTGGCATGCTGCTTGTGTCACTTTCTTGCAGTATTAAAAGTGTTGAAAGGGAAGAGAGGCCTAATTGTGTGACCGTAATCAGTTTTTCTGCTTTAATTAGACTGGCAGGCCAATTTCCAAAGGTGCGCCCCGAGGGTGAAAAAGACATTCGGAAACACACTTTCTGATGGTCTGCATAATTAAATCGGTATAAATGAAAGGCATATCTAATGCTCTGTGTTCGCTACACCACCTCGCAAGGGCAAAATGTGGTTTTTCTGTCATCCATCAGTATTTGTATCCATTTAGCCTCGCAGACGGTACCGCCGATGACGCGGTGGTTTTTAATGAAAAGTCAATATGGCCTTTATGTGCTCTCATTTTTATGGGACCTCATCAATTAAATGCATTTCATTAGATGGGAATAGTTTACGAATGCTTGTGTAGTTTCAGACGAAAATGTTTTTTGTTGAGCAACCCATTGCATTTCTGTAATGGTTTCATGAAGTGGAGAGCTTTGACGCCTAGATATGATCCGTGGATTGTTTTTGTCTCTCTTGAGATTTTTACGTTTATGATGTTTGCTCAATCTGACTTAAGACAAGTGGAATGTTTCATCACAGACAGTCTTGTGGTTTGACTTGAAATATCAGTGGGGCGTCTTGCATCAGAGCATTGCACAGATACCACGATGAGTTAAACTAGTTTTGAAAGGGCCAGGCGTGCTTTACTCCAAAACGGAGTCGAACATGATAGCGCTTCTGTGTGTGCGTTTCCATCAGAACGGAGGGATAGATAATGCACCAATGACTTCCTATTGGTTAAGGATTAGACTAATCCTACTTTAGGTTCAGGTAAGCCAGGGAGGCCGTGGTTGCCTCCTCCTCCTCATGAGTGATTATTGAGGTTGGACATGTTTCCTGTCTGCCACCTCCTCCTTCTCACCGAGACATTTTTGATATTTGACAAAGCCAAGCACTTGAACTGAGCATGATGTTAGTCAGTCTGTCAAAAGCAGTGCTAGGATTTTGCCGTCAGAGCATGCTTATATAGAAGATGATTTGGACCCTGAACTTGGTTTTTTTAGTTTGGTCTTGGCCTGATAATGCCACTGGTTAAAGGATATTCCTGTAGTTTGGGAAAGTTGTCATGATGATGTGTTTTGGAGGGAGAAGACGGCCGAGACACAACCATCTGCAGTGGGGCGAAGAGGACTGTTTGATCTCAGTGGAGGTTATAGGGGTGACAAATCCTTACGCGGTAGACACAGGTAATAAATCCTTCTTCAAAGGAGAGCAATCCGTTTCATGCGTACAGGTGTTAATTCCTGTCTGATCAACACAGGTACTGATTCATGCTCAGTTTTTTTGAAAATAGTATTTATTCTGAACTTTGTAGACATTTGTACTTGTTGCTTTGATGTTAGATGTATTTGAAGTGCTGTGGAAGCTGTTAAAGTGAAGGCATTTCAGGTATGATAAACTTAGTTACATGTGATTATTTTTGTAGTGAATGAACAGTGAGTCATCAGGGACATACATATGATGTTTTGGCTGTTGCATTGTGTTTTAAATAATTATAGCATGGGGTATCATTTTAGTTGAGGTTTTAACAAGAGCTTGTAGGAGCTAAATCTAGAAATGGATATGTTTGGTTGGCTAAATATGGCTTTAAAGTTAAACCGTAAGCAATTATGTTCTCAAATATGTCCAAGTAGTTGAATTTATTAGGTTATACAATTGGAAATTGATCAAAGATCTTAATCTGAGTGGGTGAAAGCTCAAGATACCAGTGGCCTATGGCCAAGAAACTTGTAGAAATGTTTTTCTTATCGAAAAGACTTCTTATAGACAAATTGAATTCATAGGAAGGAGATCAGAGAGCACAGATCGTCTGGATCTGTTGACTGGTCTTTTCAAACTCATGTCATCTGTACGCTGGAAATTATAGAGGGAAAGAAGAAAGGAAAGAAAGAAATAATAAAAGGATGGGAAAGAAGAAAATAGGAAGAGAAGGAAAGAACAAGAGAAAGAAACAAGGAAAGAATGGAAGAAAGGAAAGAAACTGACAAAAGGAAAGACAGTAAGAAAGGAAATAAGTAAAGAGGGAAAGAACAAAGGAAATAAAAGTGTGGAAGTATGAAGAGCGAAAGAAAAAAGGAAAAGGGAAAGAGTGCTGCTGTATTGTTTAGCATATTTTTGCAAATTTGTTGGATTAAAGTTGTATATTTCCTCTCATAAATTCCATTACACCGCAGGAATCTTTGTTTAAATGTTGTTAAGTGAGTCTCAGTCTAATAGTTGTTCTCTATGGCAGTGTAGTAGTACTGGACTGGTGGGGTAGTTTTCATTGGAACCACTTGTGGGTGCTCTTTACAAGCACAAAATCTGCTCCCTTGTTTTCCTAATCCAGATGGCTTATAGGCCAGCCAGATTCTCCATATTAGGAACAGATATTCATGTTGTACTGAATCCTAGCAAGCCATCCTAATAGCAAAGCTAAACTATTGGATATGGGGTAGATGCTTTGAACTCTTCTGTATGTATTTTCATAGTGTAGATAGCTTCTGCATGCACATTTAGTTCCACTGTGACTTTCATTGCACATTAACTTTCTTTCCTATAATACTTAAAGACTCAACTATTCACCCCCATAGGTGATGTGAAAACATTTTACATGCAGTTCTTTTAGCATATGCAAAACTTGCATGAGAAAACTTGGGAATTGTTTGGCATTTCATCCTGCCCTCATGAAATGAGCTCCCCAGTTTTGTTTGCCAATTTCTGTCATGTTCAATTGGTTGAGGAAATGCAGTTGCGAGGGAGGGCAGTTTAGGAAGGGAGGGTAGGAACAAGGGAGCCAAAGAGAGGCAGGCTCTGGGAAAGGGAAGCTCTACAAAATGCCCTTTAATTTGGATGCTTTTTAGGATGGTGCAAATGTTGGTAACCGTGCCGAAGATACTCTCCGCTCCAAGCATCAGGCACCCTCCGTTTTAATCTTCAGTCAAAGCAGTAACTCCCACAGGGATTTCTCTACAGGTGCCTTGGCAATGGCTCTGCTTTAAGGAGACAAAGGATTCTGCTCCTTGTTTTGCTGCTATCCTTGGGACATGTGGGAACAGCTTGAAGTTCAAACAGACCCCTCTCGCTCATGCCAAGAACTGGAACATTAAGGACTTTGCCTACACTGCTGACTGCAGGGTTGCACAGACCTGTTTTTGACAGTAGGAGAAGACCAAAGACTTCTTAATCTGTGGCTGCATTCATCACTCCAATGCGCACAGGTTTGTGTTTTCATAGAGTGCTTATTTCCCTTAATCCCCTGCAAGGTAAAAGTTGCAGTGAGGTCATGCTGGGGCTTGTTTGAAGTTTTTTTTTTCCCCCTCAACTCCGTCTCCGTCTCTCACAAGTCAAAGGTGAGGGATTATGCTTGCTTTTGGAATGTGGCCTGGAGGTGAAAGACTTCGAGAGCGACTGTGTTAGAGAGAGAGTGCTTAAGTTGCAGAGAACAAGCTTGTGGAAGTGTGTCCATGATATGAAATGTGATTTTTAAAGGTAGGATCACATCTCTTCGCCAAGACAAAGTTGGTGAAAATCTGTACGAAGTTGCTGTTTTCCAGAATGGGACTCCAGGAGGAGGTACAGACTCTGACGCCTTCAGGAGGGGCTGAGACTAGAAGAGGAGAGGCTGAGCTAGGAGTCGTAAAGAACAACGTGGGAGAGGAGGAGGAGGACGACGACGAAAGACAAGAGGCGGATCAGAGGGAGGAACGTCGAAAAAGCCCGGGGCAGAGGAGGAGTGCAGTTGGAAAGCCCAACAGGTGGCTTTACCTGAGCAGCACAGGGAATGGGGGGTGGAGGAAAGGGGAAGTACTAAGAATGAGGACGGACCGGTTACCTCTTTTCCTCCAGGACAGCTGTGTGCAACAAGCATCTGCGGAAGACTTCGACTTGGCTGGGGAAGAAAAAGCATGGACCGGAGAACTCAGTGTTGATGTTTGCCACATTCCCATTAAGGAACTAAGTTGCAATGCTGTTTTTCTGGAAAATGCAACAGAACCTCATGTGGCGGTCTTGCGAAGGCCTGCACATGGGCTTCGGCTCCTGGGCAGCAGAAGAGCCGTGAGTATGTTCGTCTTCCCAGATGACAATAGGAGACACCAAAACACAGCAACCAACCACCAAGGCAGCTCTGCAAAACCTCACAGTGATTGTATGTTGGCAGCTACCAACTCAAACAACAATATTCTGCCTGCCTCGACCCCAAATAAGCAAGGTTGCCCAAATGTGATCCAGCGGTGTAGGACAAGACGTGTCGAGCTGCGTGCAATAGACGGTCTAAAACCAGACATGCCGCCTTCTGTCAACCTGTTTCCTCATCCACTAGAAGAACCGCCAATACGTCGGACTTTGAAAAGCAAGAACAAACCACGGCCCGTTAGCATGACTGTTCTTGAGCTTAATAAAGAGCGTATTGGATCCCGGGATGAGCTCGCAAGCCACGCTTCCACTGGTACTGGTAGTTTGCCACGTCCAGGCTTCCGATGGAGATGGTTTGGTCGACAGGCAACTGGAAAGGAAGTGGTGGTGAAACAAACTTCAACAAGGCTAAAGGAACCCAACAAGACAGAAGAACCGAAGACAACATTCGGATCCCTGCGGAGGAGCTTGAGTCTAAGGATGAGGCGGAATCGTAATCAACTCGAGCAGGAGAACCGAACTGAATGGAGACGCACTTCAAGTATCGGAGAACAATCTATGCAAACCACTCGCCCGTTTTCCTATCTTACTGGCAGGATGTTAACGCCAGCTCATGAGCAAGATGAGGATCAAGGGGCCACACAGTACATTCAGTACCAAACTCGGGGCAAGGTGGCCGTCTTGGAGGTCCCTCTCCATCCTGCCAAACTAACAAAGCCCACCAAACATTTGCAACCAGAGACTAGTTTTTGGCAGTTAATTGCTAGTCGTTTTAAGAGGAAAGACCCGTTGTCCAGCAACAAATCTGAGCTGTTCACTGAAAGCCAAGCAGATGGCAGCCACCCCCCTGCGAGAAATAAAAAGCCAGATTCTGTTGCCATAGAGACTCTAGCTGGCATTAGTTTCCGCAAAGGTCAAGGTAAGTTGTGTAAAATGCATAATTTCATTCCACATCCCAGTCTGACGCAGAAAAAGGTGCTGCTTTTTGTCTGAAGAGGACAGACTCTGAGTGCCAGGATGTAGCCTTGGAGAGCAGGGCAAATTGATTAAATATTAAAACAATATTGAAGGTCTGGCTTGGGCAGCACCAACAGGCATAATAAGAGGTTAAATGCATTATTCACTCTGAGTGCTTTGGCTCTGTTGGAGTGTGTGTGCTTGAGCTGTTAATTGGCTCCAAGAGGAGTTTTCTTCTAGTGTAAGTCTGCACTGCAATTGAATTAGGAAGCAAAAAAGCGTCCATCAAATCTTGTTTAATCATTAACGCTTTCAAGGTAATCAGATAGACTGCAGGAATGAGTCAAGGATGGAAGATGTAGACGAATAAAGAGGGAATAATTTAAGGACTCTCTTCTACTATCAGAATGCTATATGTAACAATCCCGTTCTCATGGGATTGGACCAGGGGAGCCACACATCAAAGCTTTCAAGGCCGCATGAGGCTCGCGAGCCGCGCAATGAGTAACACTGATGTAGACGAATAAAGAGGGAATAATTTAAGGACTCTCTTCTACTATCAGAATGCTATATGTAACAATCCCGTTCTCATGGGATTGGAGTTGGGATTCGTTTTTGCTTTCGCAGCTCTGAAGGTTAAATCGTGACCCAGCATGCAGACAACAACCTCATGATATTTTAAACATGTTTTTGTTCTTTCCCTGCAGCTTCTGCGTTGTCTCAGAGATAGTGAAGACAAATAGTGCCGTTTCAGAGCTTTACGCTGTGATTTTAAAAAGGGATTAGGTTACGTAGAGTGAGACAAGATGTATACAGGCCTAGGTTCTTAACCTTAAGTCACGTCAGCTCCCTTGTAATCCTTATTTCGATGATGAAAATTTGATTAGTTTTGCCTGTGGCATTTTCTTTGGATGTAAGTATTTGTAATAAGTATGTGTGCAGCATTAGACAAGTTTAACACAAATTATATTTGTTTTGTCTTTGAGCAGTGAAGTCTCACTTGCCAGCGCAAGTGTTGAAGGTGCAATATATAATTTCAATGAAATGTCTGCAAACACAAGATGACTGAAATGTCAGAGGAGAGATGCTAGCACATCTGCTATTGAAATAGAGCTGTCCTTATGATTGAGTGAGGAGGACATGTTTCAGGATGGAAGATGATGTTATTGGCAGCACACCTTGAGATGGTTTGAGCACTTATTATGTAGTGGAAGCCTCATTTCAGCTCAAGTCTCACCAGAATGTTAAAAGGAAGGAATCTATCTATCTATCTATCTATCTATCTATCTGTCTGATCTAAAAATGCACATTTAAAATATGTTTGATTGCACTCATGCATTTGTAATACGTTTTGAGAGTGTTATTCAGATTTGTTGATTCATATATTTCATTGGGCTGATTTATTAACACATTCACAGTAAAGATGGTTGGAGTTAGTGATGCTGAGATTATCCATAAATATCCATAATTCTAGAAACACATATCTGTTAACATTTCAAAAACATGTTTTAGTCTTTCATGACACTTAAAAAATTTTGTTCAGGTCAGGTAGTGCATCTCTAGTTCATTCTCAGAATAAAGGAAGAGCTTTCAATCCCTTAATTTGCATTATATACAGAGACTAATTTCATAAGAAACTAGATTATGTGTGGCCTTTTTGTAAATTGTGACCTTTTTTGGCACATACTAATTTGCTTTCACTTGAATGATTTTATTATATATGATGAAATTTTTTCTTTTATTTTTTTTTCGTGTTATTTGTGACCCTGGACCACAAAACCAGTCTTAAGTGTCAATTTTTCAAAATTGAGAGTTATACATCATCTGAAACGCATTTTTGGCTATTGCTACAAATATACCCCAGCGACTTAAGACTGGTTTTGTGGTCCAGGGTCACATATTTCATGTTATGTTTTATTTTAATGGACAGTATTTGGGCAGATCAGTGACACTGCCACTTCAAAGTGATCCAACTAGAAATCGGCCAACATCCAATCAATGGACTTGCGCTGGTCATAACAATCTACTCACATTACCTACTCAAGTATATCTTGCAAAGCTCACTTTAGCACAGCAAACTCCCACAAATGACTTACAGGGCTTGTTTTTAGGCAGTACCATTAGTCATTCGTCAAATGGAGATAATAAATTAATGGAGGTTTACACCCTTGGCATCTGCTTGAGTTTATTTTCATTGGTTACTATGGAAACTATCCTCCCCAAGCTCCCCGACTGACCTTTCTTTATAAAAGTTGACTGACAGCCTGAATGTAGGTGTGTTTGCTGAACTTGAGAGCTTTTTGGACCAAAGCTTATGTCTGCGAATTGCGCGTACCTGTCGCTACATGCCCTGGTAGTTTGACAAGCAGGTCGTTCCTGGATCTTGACTGTTTTCTGTAACTGTGACTTCTTTGTATTTTAAGCCCGGAAGGCTTTACCTTCTGACGAGATGCGCATGAAAATCGCATTCGATTTTTTGCACAGCCCTACCTTCTTCCATCACCTGCGTACAAAGTCTGCTCAGATGGAATTTGGATGACTTTTTGGCCTTGGGGTCGTGATGGCGGAGTTTCAATGGCAGGGTAAAAAAATGGTGTGAGGGCACTTCAAAGGGTGCATAGCTAGAAAATGCATCATAGGAAGCTTGAAAGAATCCATTACTGTGTGTTATAAAGGCACAAGTCTCCAGTAAAGTCTCCAACTGGGGCTGAAATTGCACTCAGCACTATTTCTAAACACTCTCCCATGTGATTTGCGACGGCCTTGACCTCTCTTAAAACTCTGAGTCATATTTTCTTCAGCTTGATAGCAATAAAGTTATCTCGGCTCTCATATGATACGAAAAGCGCTTTGTTTGCAGTTCACTCTACATAAGAAAAAGCATCAAATTGAAGTTCAACATCAGTTTGATGCCTTTTTACCGCAATAGGGTTTAATTTCAGTGACATTCACATCTGTCGCTCCAAAATGCAGCAGTGTTTACTTGATACCTGAGTAGGGCTGTCGCGATTCGTCGATTTTATTCGACTATTTGATTTTTTTAAATCCTCGACTTCATTTTGCTCGCGTCGACTAACCGGCAAAATACCGGAAGTGGCGCATTTCACGGACGAGAATGTATAAAACACATTTTTAGTCTGTTTTCCAAGGCTGCATGATATTAAACCCATTTACAAATTTGTTTTCCATTATTTTCTGGATTCCATTTTAATGGTTCCATTAAACTTTAATAATCAGAAGCATCTCCAATTAATTGATTTTATTTTTTTTTAAAAAAACTTTTTTTTTTATCAGAAATACTGCACATTTACATTTTTCTCCTAAATAAATTCTGGTAAATAATATTTCTGGTAAATACTCCTTTAAAAAGTGTTTTTTGATTATAATTTTATTATTAGTAGACTAGAACACGTGGATATGTTGTCATTCTTACACTATAATACTGAACTTTGATTTCAGTGATTTGGACTATGAGATGGACACTTGCTTCTTGCACTTTATGTTGCACTTTACTTTTTTACTTTTGGATTTCATTCGGTTTAATGAAATATAGTTTAATAAAATATTCTTAAGTAAAATTGTTGATTTTTTTTGTGGGAAATTAATCAATCGATTAATCGATAAATTAGTCGATAGATTAATCGAAATAAAAATAGTCGTTAGTGGCAGCCCTATACCTGAGTTGAGTTTAGATCATGTGTAGCTAGTTTTTAGCTGGCATCTGAAGTCTAATTATTTTGATTTGTTTTGACTTGAAACATCTTTGGGAAAAGAATTTTAATATGGTGGGATTGCGAGGTGTGGTTGTCAAGCTCGGATGTGTTTGCCTGTTGGCATGCGTCCACTTTTCCATGGATCCGTGTGTGAGAGCGAGGATGGAGGTTGAAAAGGCCTGGTTTCATCAGGGCATGTTGCTGAGCGCAGCAGGAAGAATCTCATCTGAGTCACTTCAGCAGTTTGTTGAGTGCGAAGGGAGGGTGAGACATCAAGTTTAAATGAAGGACGGAGAAAACACCTCTTGACTTGCTGTGTGTTACGCTTTAGCACACCATGTTCTCACCATCACACAGGAACTGAACGAGTCTCTTTTTGGTATGTATGGAAATATTCGCTCGCAAATGGGTTCGTTTCTTGGTGTGTGTTTCTCAGTCCCTTGAATCCACAAAGGGTTTTTTTCTTCTCTTCCCCGACGCTTTGAATAGTAATTTTGATTAGATTCGACAAGAGCAGCGGAGTGAAAAATGAACCGAACAATGCAGTGCCACAAACCTCTGTGGTGCTTTAAACAAGGCTGCCCATGTGCCGCTGTGATGACGTAATTGCTGCACGACAGATAGTGTGTGTGTGTGTGTGTGTGTGTGTGTGTGTGTGTGGCATGGAGCAGCAGGAAGAATCTCATCTGAGTCACTTCAGCAGTTTGTTGAGTGCGAAGGGAGGGTGAGACATCAAGTTTAAATGAAGGACGGAGAAAACACCTCTTGACTTGCTGTGTGTTACGCTTTAGCACACCATGTTCTCACCATCACACAGGAACTGAACGAGTCTCTTTTTGGTATGTATGGAAATATTCGCTCGCAAATGGGTTCGTTTCTTGGTGTGTGTTTCTCAGTCCCTTGAATCCACAAAGGGTTTTTTTCTTCTCTTCCCCGACGCTTTGAATAGTAATTTTGATTAGATTCGACAAGAGCAGCGGAGTGAAAAATGAACCGAACAATGCAGTGCCACAAACCTCTGTGGTGCTTTAAACAAGGCTGCCCATGTGCCGCTGTGATGACGTAATCGCTGCACGACAGATAGTGTGTGTGTGTGTGTGTGTGTGTGTGGCATGGAAATGGGCAGGATTTTATTGGGCCAGTGAGGCTTGTGTTTTCACTGTCATGTCAGTCCATGTAGCCAACATGACAAACATGATTATTAGTAACAATTAAGCCTGTGATCTTCTGCGTGAGGGGATGACATAATTTTCATTTACAGTAAGTGCTGTTTTTGGAGGCTGTGTGTTATGAAGACCAGGAGGGACACTTAAAAATAAACTGATTTCTTCCATTTATTTAAGTGGCAGTCCAATTGTCAATGTATGCATTTAAAAAACATTTTAAAAAAATACAATTGAGAAATAAATAGGCTTATTTAAATAATAACGTACTAAATAATTTTTAATGGCAACATTTAAATGTTATTTTTTTTACAAATTGCTTTTCTTTACTTTTGCTAATGTTTTAACCATCCATTTGTTTATAAAAACAAGAATTAAAAACACTAACTTGATGAGATTCATACTTGGCTTTAATAAATAGAATATTAATTACATTTAGTTAATGTAAAAATATAAAATAGATTTTTTTTCTATTTCTTTTTCTGATAGTGAAAGTAATGTTTACTTGACCAAGAAAATGTGACTGGGACATGAATTTACATTTGATAAAAAAATTTTAAAAAAGCTTTGAGGACTTTGCCTCATTTCAGAACACCACCACACATTTGTTTTGTTTTTTTAGTATTTTTATTAGTATTTTTTATATTTTTTTGATATATATAATATCTAAACACAGTTAAAACAAGATCAATTTATTCTAGTTAATTGATTAGGTAAGAAAAAATTTGTTTTATAAATATATTTAATATTTAGTTTTTCTTAAATATTTTATTTTTCTTAAGAAAAATGAAACTTAATTCTACATGAATCTGTTTTTTCATGATTTTTTGGTTATTGTTAATGATATTAACATCAATAATATTTCTGGTTGATAGCCATAAGGATTATTATATGTGTATAAGCAGTAACGTATACTATAGTGTCGGTCCAGTTCACTGAGTGAAATGAATGACATCATCACGTACTAAAGTTTTCTGTCTGTTTCTTTCCAGATTCCTTCGTTAACAGTCAGGAATGGACATTGAGTCGATCAGTACCAGAGCTCAAAGTGGTGAGTGATCTTCCCACCCCTTTGCCTTATCATCTTATCTCTTAACTTTGTGTGGAACAGTAAATCCTGACATGTCGAGGACTGAATATATTCAGCAAGCAGTGAGATGTCAGTCACTCTCTGTAATGATATTTCGGCTCGTGTCACTCTTGAGTTATTCTGCTGACGTTCCCTCAGAATAGCCACCAGTCAGAAAATACAGAGTTCACTGATGCTTCATACACAATATCACTGTCAAAATGTGACTAGAATAACTCAATTTATGCTATATAAATTTTTTACACTGTATATGGATCATTTAGTAGTACAAAAATATACATACTATACATGTGTGTGTGTATATATATATATATATATATATATACATATAATTATGCAGATCATAGTTTTACTAGTATCAGTATCAGCTTCATGGAAGAATAATCCAACTCCAGAATCATAATTATCCAATTTAAAAATCACCCTCATTCTAACATCTTAATATGAGGCAACGTGATGAAACTATATGCTCATGAAGCTTTTACATCCAATATTCTCCTAATGAAGTTTCTGTCCTCCTCTTTGTTCTTGAGGCCTGCGGCGGCCGCTTGAGTAACTATAACTGCTCGTCTGGGCCTTTATTATTGAGGAAGATTGTTACTGTTTGAACCTTGTTAACAGTACACACCACCCTCTGATGAACCCGAACGCTGTTCAGCATCAGCCTCCGGTGTTTTAATGATGACGAAGGAGGATGTTTGGTGTTTTGGGAAAAGAAAGGACAGAGTTTTTCCATTTCCATGACGAAAGCAGTATTCGGTGCTGTTTTGAAACTCAATGTTGGTCCTAGTGATGCACGATGTACTTTGTCAATGGCTGATGTGAGCATTTATTTAATGCATTTCAATTTTGATTTAATTACTGCCATTATATTGTATTGTATATATATTTTTTGTATTTATATTTTTTATTAGCATTTTATATATATATATATATATATATATATGTATGTA